GAATCTATAACCCCCTATGTCAGACAGTGAGCCATGCCATTTGGGGGTAAGTCATGCTGACTGCCACTTCTAACAGAACTGCAGCTGTGAACTGACTTAAGCTGATTTAGTAACACACAACGAAAAGGTTCCTTTTAGTAGTTAACCATGATTGCCCCAAAAATCCTTGACATAGGTGAGAATTAGCTACACTTCCCTCATTGCCAGGTTATAATGACATACATTTTGAACCAAATTCTGTGTGTCTGTTTATTAAGCAAACATTTCTCAGCAAGAAGGCAGCAGCTTTTCCTTTTTAGAGCTCCAAGCCCTGCTGTGTWTGAAAAGCTCACAGGAGGAGGCAGCAGCAACATTCTAGGGGAAGGATCTGGCTGCCTTATTGTTTGTCAGGCAACCAGAAGTTGTTCTAATCCACAGGTGGATGCAAGACCATTTAAGGCTCTACCAAAACTGTTTTCATGGATAAAATTTACTAAGCTTAGCAGTCTTGTTAGCTAGGTATCAGATGTTACCTGAGTTCCAAATAGTTGAATTGAATGTGGTAGTACCTGAGCAGTGAGTCTTTGTGGCCAATCATGCTAGCTAAAATCCAGTCTGTATATTCTTTTTGTTTTGCTTTTAGTTGACAAATAATAATTTTACATATTTATGGGATATGATATGTTTTGGTGCATGTTTACAATGTAGAAAGATCAATTCAGGCTAACAAATCCATCACCTCATGTATTTAATGTTTTAGTAGGCTTTTCTGTTTCTGTGACCAAAAGAGTAGACAAGAATAATTCGAAGAGGAAATTACTATTTTGGTTCAAGGTTTCAGGGTTCAGTCCATGTTAAGCTGACTACACAGCTTTGGGCTCCAGGTGAGGCAGAACATCATGGCATAAGAGCATGATGGAGCAAAGCAGCTCAGTATATGATAGCCAGGAAGCAGAGAGGGAACTCTGCTCAACAGAAACAAAAYAACAAACCCCAAAGGCATGGCCCCAGTGACCTATCTCCTCCAACCACACCCTACCTGCTTCCAGTTACCACTCAGTTAATCCATATTAGTGTGTTAATCCACTGATTARGTTACACTCTCATAACATAACCAATTCACCCCCTGAACATTCTTGGATTGTCTCACATATGAGTTTTAGAGGGACACCTCATATCTAAACCATAACACTTAATACTTTCATGGTGAAAAATATTAATAAATCTAATTTTAAATTATTTTTAAAATACACAATGCATTATAATTTATGGTACTTAACCATTCTGTGAACAGATCACCAAAACATTCCTCCTAATTAAAATGGATTCCTTATTAAGGCAATTTATTGTCCCTTTAGTTGAATCTTGCACTAAGTAGCACATTTATACTACTTACATAGTTTGTGCTAAAGTGTTTTAATCCAAAAGTGTTCATATTCAAGAACCATGATAATGGCTGCTTAATAATCACACATAGTCTGCGAATACTGATTTAATACCTATCCCAGGTCGGACACTGTAATTAGACATCAGGATCACTAAGGTAAATAAGATAGTTACTACCTTAAAAGAGTTTGCAATTGAATGGGGGAAATATAAGCATAAGCAAAGCAATGATTATARTGTAAAGTAATAAATGCCAGTTTACCCAGTGTACTTCTGGGATCCCCCAAAGACAAGTAGTAGTATTCTAGAGGTAGTATTAGAAGACCAAAAAATAATAATAATTTACATGTATAAAGTAGAGATAATCATTTTAAATGAAAGTAGCAGTGCTTGTATGAAAGTACTAAGATTTGAAACCTCATAATCCATTTTAAAAGTTATAAGTAGTTGAAATTGGCTAGAAGAAAGTAAGGAATGAGCTGAGTATAGGAAGACAAGATAGGGGAGACCAGATCAGTTAGGTTTYGTGTGTTAAGGTCAGAAGTCTGACTTTTTCTGCAAGATGTGGGTTATCAGGGAAGAATGTTATTCAACAAATAATGTACATTTTAAAAGGTCAGTTGAACAGCAACATGTAGAATGAGTTGAAATAGGGTAGAGGAAGAGGCACAGGGTGATGGAGGCCAACACACAYAGGACTGGTAAGAGCTTAATCTAAGGTGTAAGCATTGAGAATAGTAAATACAGATTCAGAAGTAACCAATGATAAACTTGAGGCTGACTGGGAGTGTGAGAAAAATCTAGAATATCTCGGAGCCTTTGGCAAATTGCATGGATGGTGCTACCCACCAATTTTAAATGACTGACTGAATAATGGCCAAATGAATAATTGTTCTTCTTGTTATCGGACAATAATACATTCCTGTCAACCCTCTCGATTCTCTTTGGATTCTCTTCATTCTTCTCTTGCTTGGCTTGTGAGATATACATATGTTCAACCCCTCTACTTTTTAAGCACTTTCACTGTAGATGTTTGTCTTTCCTGGTCAACCCAGTAGTAAGTACAATTCATTACACTACATATTTTTTATTTCTTCAAGCACTATAAACTATAATCTAACAAAAATCATGTTAAGTAATTTGTTTAAAAATCATGTTAAATACAATTCTCTCAAAGTAACTGAAAAAAACTTTGATTAAAAGTCAAAAGTAATGGATTAAATAAGATAGCATTTATAGCTGTATCAAAATTATACATTATTCTAAGTGACTATGCAGTCACTGGTTCATTAAGCTGTTATATTCAGACTGTATAAACCTGAAAAAAAGGAACACACATTTTTAATTCTACTATAATTGCTCCATCATGCCAATGTATATTATTTCCATTAAAATATAACTTATATTCTTATATAATGTCCCTTTCTTTCTAATACAATATAASTTTTTCCTGAAAACTCTTTAAAACTTTATAAAAAGAGGGATAGTAAAATCTATATACAAAATCAACAGTATGATTAACTAGAAAACAATTCTACACCACAGCAAGTCAGTAAATTCAAATATCTACAGGATCTATACAAATACATTTAACTATTAAATTCTTATTACAACAATCTAACATAATCTGTCTTTAAATTATTCAAAAGGTGTTTCAGAATCTTGAAGACTAATAAGAATAGGAAAAGTCAATTATTATATTGTGAATGTATGGAATGTTTGAAAACGTCACTTCTCTTAAGTGCTCTTCTACTAAACASAGAACCAGATTTCACCATACTAAAGGTAAAGAAGGGTGTAGGGAGTAAGGCAAATTCAAAAACAATGACTTATTGTGCCTCCAATTCAAATATAACAAAATAAACCAAAAAAAAAATTGAGTATGTACTTTCTAAATCTACATGGAAACAAGGATGTAAAATAATAAGAAATTATTATTATCAAAAAGCTATACCTCATAAGTAAAGATAACCACAAACAACCACATGTTAATATTTATGTTAAGAGGTTTATATTAATAGTCACATCAACATATTAAATTCCAGAAGTATCTCATCTTTATTCACAATATGATAGCCTATGTATTTTCTGATTATATTCATAGGAAAATATGAGATTCCACTAATAGATWTTTTAAGGAGAACTAAATAAAATTTTAACAGTGAAAAACACTAAGCACATATTGAGCACCATTTGTATTAGTCATTTAAACAAAAGAATATAGGTTTTAAGATGTCTGTAGTAAAATGATTTTTTATTTAAAAAAAATGACTAACAAATTAAGTTATAGATTTATTTCTGCCAAAATGTCTTCTAATATACTGTTTTAATTTAAATTACTTAATTGAAAAAAATAAGAAATGTAGTCAGTGAAAAAAGCACTTAAGGTTTTTCACATGTCTTCTTTCTGGTATTTCAGTAGAAAATTTTACTACTTCCTGAAATCTTGGAATGTATGACTGGATTTATTGAATTCACACATATCAATCTTTTGATAATGTTGCCAAGTATAAGTGAATGAAACGATACGCCAAAAGTCATATTCTGCCAACTATATAGTTGGCAGTATTGAACCACTGTTATTTTGCTTGACACATTTTTTTTCTAATTTGTGTTATCTTTACGTATAAAGTAAAATAATGAACTTGTAAACAACTCTTTAAATTTCTCTCTACTTTCTCTCTATCTTTCCAGAGACAAGTGAGGAACAYAGAATTCAGAAAGAATGATTATAATACATCTAGCTATTAAATMATATTTATTTTTAATCTTTTGATTTACTAAAAAAATGTTTATAATACCATACATTCATTTGTGACACAAAATACACTATKACATTTTGAATGAGAATTACTAAATTTTCCCTTAGACCCATATAGGTAATAGTGGACTCTTGAAATCTTTAATAATCAAAGAGAACATTTTTTTTCTGCTGTAATGTATTATTTCTAGCTAAATAATAATTCTGTGAAGGTAATAAGGATGGTAGTTAAAAAAAAAGATTAAAAAGACAAATGTGTCACCAGAATAATTACATTGTGCTCTTTTGAACAAACAACAGTACATAATTTAGAAGACAAGAATTTACAAGACAAATCTGTTTAAACACACACTGTAGGGATAAACTTCAATCAYCTAAATATGAATGTTACAGAAAATATCTATTAACATACTTCTTAGAAAAGTTCTCTTGAATATCCTTTAACATTTTCCCATGTTCAAAACAAATTGAACTGTTTTAATCCTATAGACTGAGAGACAATTCCAGTTCCTACAATTGAGAATGCTGGCAGAGGATTGAAAAAGTATGTAAAGGACAGGAAGCTTGGTCACTGGACAGATGCTGTCATACAGTTAATCTATTRAGACTCGTAAAAAATGACCTCAAAGATAGACAATAAACTGAGGACTTACTTTACAAACCTTGAGACATGAGAGCACGTACACAGCACCAAACACATAACACACTCACCTACACCGAGTTTTCTCAATATTTCTCTTTTCAGACTCAATTTTTTTTTAGAAAAAATAAAGGAATTCCTAGAAAAATATACTCTACTGTTTCATCATATTTTATATTCAATCCCTTTCTACTATAAAATGTTTAGTGCTGAAGACACTATATATTATTAAAACTAAATTCCCCATGGAATACGTAAGATGTTAACAAAATCTGCATCATCTGCTATCYCTATGCTTAGACCTTCATAGTAATCTTCAAATTCACCATATGATACTTCATCAGACTTGCTGCAGATGGTCTTTAATGTTTCTAGAAAAGATGATTTGATTTCTTCCTCTGTGGAATGGCCTGTAAAATAATACCAACTATGAAACAGTCTGTTAAAAATTGGTAAAATAATGATTACAAAGGAATGCTTATTCATTTTATAAAATCTTTTCAACAATACAAAATAATTCGTAAAACTGTGCTCCAATTTATTTAAACATGAACTAGAATTAATTCCATCTCATTAGCTTGCCACTCCCTCCTCACCCCTTTCTCTTGCATTATCTATTTCCAGAATTTTAGCAGAGAACATGACAGAAAAATAAAGTTATTTTAAATAAAGAAGCAAGAATTAAAGAGGAAAGGAAGCTATAGAAGGTGGTCAAATTATAAGTGGAAATAAATGGGTACATATGAAAAAGCAGAAAAAGGCTAAAAGAATCTTTGTGGCTTTCTAAAATATTTTAAAGTCAGGTCGTATTGAAAAATAACAGAATTAAATGGGAATATCCCCTGATCATTTATCTAGCAAGGTAAACAAAATTAGGGTAAAAGGTGGATCTTTTTCACAAACCAGAGYTTCTCTAATGTATTTAGAACATAATACTTGTAAAGTGCCTTTCAATTAAATGAATGCAACCTGTTTAGGGTWTCAAGAAGGTTTCTGTCTTTTAAAKTCATACATGAGTAATAGARAAYAAAGCGATTCTTAGTCAAGGCTAAAAATTAATCAGAATATAATCTATATAAAAACATAAATTTGGGGGCTAGGGATGTAGCTCAGTTGGTAGAGTGCTCATCTCACATGTACAAGGTCCTGGGTTCAATCCCCAGCATCAAATAAATGAATAAATTTTGGCAGGAGAAAATTCTTTCCTGTTTACCATTCATACATTTGAACAGATAAGTTCTAGTTCAATATTTTTTTCTAAGTAAAAGTTTTCCTACTTAAATTTATGCTTCAAATATCCAAAGATTTTATACCTCCTTAAAATCTTCTACATAGGAAGTGCCTATCTGCTATCATATGTAACTTAATTTTACTATCTTTAACTCCTCTTAAAGATTAGAAAATATTTACCACAACCAATACATCTAATACCATTACACAGAAAAACACTTGGGATATCCCATTTCTGTTAAACTTTAATACGTGTAATTAATTACTTAAAGTAAAAAAATAATATTTCGTATTAGTCAAATAAAATTGTATGTGGTATAAAAGACTTAAAATGAAATTAATTGTAAATGATAAACAACTTTTGCCCTAGAGATGGGCATGTGAATAGTTTGCAATAATAGATAACAGAGTTTTTCTTTTCTAAAAACAGATGTTTCTCTTTTGTGTTTAGCTTGCTAGCTAGTCTTCTTTAATGTGAATGCAAAGACCAAGTATAGAAATTCTGAAACTAACAAAGGCTTACCCAACAACAAAAGCAAAACCCTCTTCCACAATTCAATGACACAAAATAGAACTAATAATGTCTTCTAATAATGTTAAGCATTTAACATTATTAGACAGAAGACAAAAAGAAAAAAAATAAACAATAATGAAGTCACCTAATTTTGAAATGAGTAAACTATTATGTTCTGATATTCAGTATGCCTAGTTAAACATAAAGACATGGGGAATGACGTGTTTAAAGAGTAAAAAGTATTCCAGGAAATATTATTAGAAATTCTCTTGGAGTAACCGTAATTCATTTAAAGTCACTAAAAATCCAATGAAACTATTATTTTATTTTATTTTATTTTATTTTATTGGCACCAAGATTTGAACCTAAGGGTAGATGCTTAACCACTGAGCCACATCCTCAGCCCTTTTTATATTTTATTTTGAGACAGGGTCTCATTATGTTGCTTATAGCCTCACTAAATTGCTGAGGCTGGCATTGAACTTGAGATCTTCCTAACTCAGCAYCTCCCCGCCCCCAAGCTGCTGGATTATAGGCATATGCCACCACACTCAGCTTCAAATAAAACTATTTTAACCTAAAACAGATTACTGGAAATTTGGAAACCAGTAATAATTAGCACTAATCTTCAATACTAATTCTATTTTTTTTCTGTTTTTACTCCCCAATTAAAATTAATAAACAAACCATGTGCAGAAGTTAATAAGAAAACAAAATAATTAGTGTATCTTTTTAATATTAAAAAGCAAAAATTTTAAATAATAGTACTATATAATTTAAATGATAAATTCAGAAACTTCATAAAAGATGGCCAATAGTCATAAAATAGTAAAAAAAAAWGGTCAATAAATATTCTCTAGTAATCAAGGAGATGCAAATAAAAAAATGTTTAACTTACCAAATGGGCAAAAAGTTAAACTGTTGGCAAAATTGTGAAGGAATAGAATTTTCCAAGTCGTGGTGGTATAATCTAGTATTATCATCATACAATATAATCTGGAAGTATAATTAAAATTGGAAATCTAGATATCCAACTAATTCTAGGTTTTGATATCTAAGGAATCAGAAGAAAATGAGTCTATACTCATAAATAAGCATATATATTGCTTTATTGGTTGTATATCAATAATTAGAAAATTAAAAGCCCACCAATAGRCTATGAAAATTGTAAAATATTGATTTGTGAAAATAATAATATGTACAAGGTAAAAACAAAGTGACTCAATATGCATTAACATGGAAATAGCTCCAAAACACACTGTGGATTATAAAAAGCAAAGTGTATAACACTATATTTAATATATCTTTCAAATCAGGAAAAATAATCTTCAAAAAGTATTAGATATTTATAGTAGAAGTACAGCTATGAAAAATACATAGATTAAGGACAGAAATATACATATGTAAATGTAAATATATATATATATATAAAGCATTTGACTGCCACTAATCTCCTCTTTCCATTACATTTTTCTTCAGAGAAGTAAAAGTTACTCTCATTTTACATATATATATATATATATATATATATATATATATATATATATATATACTTCTCTGAAGAAAAATGTAATGGAAAGAGGAGATTAGAGGCAGTCAAATGCTTTATTTATAATTAAGAATTCATTCATAAATCAATTGTGTAAAAAAAATCAGGAGAAATACAAATAGGAACTGAATTCCTAGAATTATTTTGGGAAATTTGCTTTATCCTTCTARTATGAATAAACATGTAAGCAGATAAAGTAAAACCAACCCTGAGAACTGGCAGATATAATTATCTATTTTCTAAATCTGGTCTTTTAAACTCAAATTCCTCATCCTTTCCTAAGCAAAAAATAAAATAAAATAAGAGTTCTATATCAATTATAAATATCAAATCTGGGCATCCTTTCACTTCTGTAATCCCAACTACTCAGGCGGCTGAGGCAGGAGGATGACAAGTTCAAAGCCAGCCTGGATATCAGGTTGGGAGGGAGTGGGAAACATGTATAAACAGTAAACCTAAGAACTTTTAAATGAAAATGGTAAATAGCTCTCAAGTTTCTGGTTCAAACAAAAATTATTTTTTTCCTTCCTCAGTCAATGCTTTAAACTTAAAGATGATGCTTTTATTAACCAACATTTTAGAAATCGAATGCACTTTGACTCATACCAATTACCTGAAATTACTTGAGGATGCTCCTTGGCACAATAACATTTTCTTATGTCTGTGAGAGTCACAGTGCCAGTTTTGTTGAAATCCAGTTTCATAAAAGCCTAAATAGGGAAATGTTATTTTTTTTCTATGAAATCATTACACATAAAAACCTAATTATCTATTTTGCAGTAGGTTCTTTCTGAGCTATAAACAGGACAATTTAAAATGTACTAAATTGACATACTAAAGAAACATCATAAATACAGGGGAAAAGATAATGAAGCAAGATGTTAGGAAACCCACACTCAAATATTTAGTTCTACCACCTTCTAACATCCTAACCTTGAAAGTAAGCTAACCTCTGTTGCCCTGGCTTTCCTTCTCTGCAAACTGAAGAGATGGATAAAAGATCTCTTGGGTAACTTCCAGCTCCAAGACCCTTATAAAACTGCTAAATGACCAAAACAAATCACCAGGAGGACTATTTTATGCAAAAAGTGAACCTGCAAATATCCCTACACTAAAATCAATGAAAAGGTGAAATAACTTTAAATGAGTGTTATTAACCTATTTCTTGAAATTTAACACTACCTTTTGAAATGTTAATTATTTTACTGCTCTTCTAGTTCAATACGACTCTCAGTATCATAATATATATATATATATATATGTGTGTGTGTGTGTGTGTGTGTGTGTGTATGTATGTGTGTGTGTGTGTGTGTGTGTGTATATATATATATATAAACTCCACTGGGAATATGATGAGGTGCATAAAAACACACAAACTTCCCAAAGCAACATACCACATTGGCAGAAGAGTCAAAACTAGAATCTGTTTTATTTATTCACACTCTTGAGTTCATGAGTTCACACAAATCTGGTACCTATTGAAAATTAAATCACACCTCCCCAAATTCTTATGTTGAACCCTAACCCCCAGTGCCTCAGAATGTGACTGTATTTGGAGACAGGGCCTTTAAGGATGCAACTGAGCTAAAACAGAATTATTAGGGTAGGTCCTAATCCATTATGACTAGTTTTCCTATTGAGAAAGGGCGGGGTGAGAGGGACACAAACAGAATAGACAACAATGTGAGAACACAGTAAAAGTGCAGCAGCTGCAAGCCAGGAATAGAMCTCAGAAGAAACAAAGCCTGCTGACCCCTTCTTCTTGGACTTCCAGCCTCCAAGCCATAAGAAAATAAATTCTGTTGTTCCAGTAATATAGTCTGTGTATTTTGATAATGACAGCCCTTGCGAACAAATCAAATACTCCATAACTCCTATTTTTCCCTCTATTCCCAGTACCAACATATACGAACAGGAAAATCACCAGTCTCTACTCCTGACACTCAAACCTATCACCAGGACATGTAGAGTACAAATAAGAACCAATTTATAAATATTATGTGGTGAATTTGTTTTAGTTAACATTTTTATTGTGTCTCTTGAATCAGTAAAGGYGGGGTTTAATTTCTATTTGAGATTTATACCTGAAATAATCATATATCTCACTTTATACAGAAAAGCTTTGTTTCAATGCTAACTTTAAAACATATATATTTTTTGGGCCCAAATACAAAAGAAAAAGAAAATTATATTGCTCAAAGTTATACTCTTAAAATGGTCACCAGAAGACAAGTAATATGTAGTTTTCTATAAACACGGGGCTCCTATTTTAATTCTAATTTAGTATGATCATTATAATCCTCATTTTATCATTCAGCATGCATATTACAAAGGCCAGAGAAACATTTTTAGTTATCATCATAAAATAACATGTACTGAGCATTGACAATGGGACAGTCACAATGCTGAGAATTTTATATTTTTAATCTCATTCAATCCTGAATTAATTCCATGGGACAGGAAACCCAGGCTCAGTGATATCTCATAACACATAAAGTCAAATAGCTATCAACTTATGGAAGCAGCAATTTATAGAGTTAATAATTTATAAACAAAATTTGATTTCAAATTCCTTCCTTCTTATACTATTTTTTCTGAAACTTATGCTGAAGCTATTTTTACTTTATTCTGGGTAAATCTATATACATTTGTGTTTTATTTTTGTTTTACTAAACCCAACAATGTTTTATAGATACAATGATGTGACACATTTTAAATGGTAATTTGTTGAAGTTTTTAAATAATGAACCTAAATATATATTAAAAGTAATAATTTAAAGGATCACTTAGCAGTTACCTTTCGAACAAATGATTTCCTGTATTCATTCATTTCACCAATAATGGCACGTTTGAATTCTCCATAATCTACCTTGTCCTTGTCCTTGCCCTCGCCATCACCACTGCCACTCAGAATCAGCCACAAAGACTCAAAATCCTAGAAATATTCACAGGGTTCATTGTTACACCTCTAAGTTAGACATAGTCATAAAAAAATAGTCATAGTCATATTTTGTTACATCTCCTACAGCCCTAGAAAAGGCAGATAACTTAATAGGAACATTCAAAAAGTTACATATAAATCCAAACAAGCCATTATGAAAATCACTTAAAGGAAACCTGAAGTGAATAGTTCTATAAAATTAAGAACAATTTAGGGGGCAATAACTCACAAGTATATCATGGTTGAGTTATTTTATTTTTGATTGACAAATAATTGTGTATATTTGTATAATACAATATGGTTTCTACATTAATATTCAGTGTAGAACAATCAAATCAGGCTATCATCAAATGAAAATATTAACATATCTATCACCTCACATGTTTATCATTTCTCCATGGTGAAAATGTTTAAAATCCCATCTTTGGCTATTTTGAAATATATAATACACTATTATTAACTACAGTTACCATACTGTGCAATAGATCACTAGAACCTCCTGCCTTACTGAAATTTTGTACCATTTACCAACATCTCCCCTTTTYCTCTGTATAGCCCCTGACCCCTGCAACTAAGCCTATGTTCTAGTAAAAAATTAATCCCTTAAATTTCAATTCATAGATAGATAAAGCTACCATGTACTAGGTTTGAACATTTTATTATTTTTATAATGTGCTGTATCTGTGACAATTCAAAAGTCACTTTAGGTTCTGAAACACCTCCAACAGCACTCGACCACTAATTATATTCCCGCTGGTCTTCTTCTTTCAAAGTAAAGATGTGAATGAGTCTAATGTTATTGCATAATTCACACTGAAAGGTGTGATTTGAGTAAACAAATCCCTTATGTTGGTTTGTACACTATGTCATTGCCAGTTACTTCTTTGGGAAATGCACTATTTAAGAGAATGCTCTTTTCACAGCATTCATGATAATTAAAAAAATTGCAGCATGAATTTTCTTAAACTCAGATAAGTACACTATCAATGTTTCAATCAAGTTGTTAGCTTTAAACAAGACTAAATAAAACACCTAGTAAGGTATCTAGCAAATAAATACTCAAAAAATATTCTCTTCCACTTCCTCCTATTTTTTTTCAAAACAAAACTTTAATTAGAAAAACTATGTCTCCAACTGCCCTTCTTCCCCTCAACTCTCAACAGCCCATCCATACTTTTGTCTATCCTAACACCTCGTACGTTACAGAGATTTTATGTGTTGGTTCAATCAAATTGAAARTGAGTTTGAAGTTTAAAATCATGAGTAATATGAACAGGAGAAGACAGATTCTATCACTCAACTCAATAGAATACTAGAATTAAAGGATATATCTTAAAGCTTAAAAGAAGTTATTTTCAAGAATTGAGTAATTTTACATAAGTGGCAACAAATTTATGTCCTCTAGATATGGTACAGAATGGAAAGTTACTCATTTGAAAAAAGCTGGAGTAAATTCATTGCTAGTATTTTCTATACAAATTAGGCTGTTTATGGTACAGAGAATTTTTTTGTTTGTTTGTTTCAAATCAGGCAGAATGACAATGTCTTCCCACAAATACTTTCTAGTTCCACAATAGGCCTGGGGGGTGGGGATGATTCTTATGTCTTATTCTCAAGCCTCTTGCACATGCTTATCATTCCATGAGCAGGTTCCAGTGATGTGACAGGAAACATAATTGGAATATTATTTAAAATACATGAAATAGGGGATGACTTACTCACATTCTTATATGTTATCCTCTTTAGTTTTACTCATAAATCTAATCAAACATTTAACAATCAATCAAAAGGGGAGGAACTGCAGTAATACAGGAAAATCACTAGATGGTGCCAAATTATCTGGGGTCAAGCTCTCTATCATTTATTGATTACTTGTGTTATTATCAAAAACAAACATCAATGGGGGTGTGGCTCCGTGGTGTCCCTGAGTGCCCCTGAGTTCAATCCCCGGTAAAAATAAAGAAATCCCTGAGAGTTCCAGTGTCCCCCCCCCAAAAAAAAAAAAAAATTTCAAGACTTTCTAATTTCTTATTGCTGGTTTATTTTTAATCTACAAAAGAAAGAAGTGAGGGTGAATGATCCCAGGTATGTACCACTAGGTGGGCCACAAGCTTAAACATCATTTAAAAMAACAACAACAACAACAACAAAGAGCAGGTATGTTACAAAGGTGATAAGCAATATCATTTGGGCACAGGATTTTGTAGTTGACAAGGCATATTCCCATGTAATTTTTTTCATTTGAACTTCCATGCAATCTTATTAGGGCAATCAATTGGTCATACAGAGCTTGTCAACCAGAAAAGTTAAAAGCCTTGTCCAAGAACACATAATTAAAGCCATAGGACTAAAACTTGAAMCTGAATCTTACAAATAGAATTTCCAGAGTTTTTTTCCACAAAATAGACTATACCTTTAACAAGACCATTTGGAGCAAAAGAGAGCAATGYAAAAGAATCCTTTAGCTGAAGTCCTGATGTGAGTCAAATTTATATGCTGTTAGAATATAATAGAAACTAGCATTAAAGATTTTAGTGTACCAGACTCATTTCTCACTCTTCTTCTATTTTCCTTGTTTCCACACATGCATCTGTTGAAACTAATGCACTGTTTTATTTAGCACTAGCTGTATGCCAGGTCCTGTTCAAGGTACTAGAAAAATAATGGGACCAGAAGTACCTTGGTCCCTACCCTGATGGGACCTAAGTAGAAACTTGCAGGCAGAGCCAGACAATAATTACAATTTGACATGAAAAAATAAAAATGGAAAGTTGACACAGAAAGGCTCAGAGATCAGAAGGTGGTGTTCTTTTAGACAGAAGTGTCAGAGCAAGGCTGTGTATAGAGAAAGCTCTGGCCTAAATAGGAAGACGATGTAGCATTTAAAGACCTAGAAGAAGATGACTGTCTGTACACTTTGGGGAATAGGCTACTCCTTCCCCCTCCAYGCCTTCATATGTGCTCTCCTTTTCATGAAATATCTGCTGTCTGATCCACAGTCCTCCTCTTTCCTTAGTTCCTAGTTAATTCTTCCTCATCCTTCAAAACTCAGCCTGGATGTATCCTCTCCCAGAAATCTTCCTATGATCTTCCCTTTCCTTCCCAATAACCTGGCATAAAGTTAGCTACCATCCCATGTGTATCAAAATAATCTCTACTTAACACATATATAATTTCACAATCATTTTCCTCAATTATGAAGATCATGAGAGTAAACAGTATGTCTCCTCAGAGCTTAGCACAGTGCCTGGGAACTAAGCGCTTAATAAGTGTATTATGGAGAAATGAACATTGAACTTTCAAAAATCAATAGGACTTGCTGCCTGGTGGCTTTACACAGACAATAGGGCAAGAAGAAAAAGTCTACTTGAGCTACTAAAATTTTAGAAGAAAAGTGAATAATGCCATCCAAGAATACTCCCCTGCAGAAAACTTTCCTTGGTACATACCTCTTCCGACACWTCTAAATGAAAAACTTTCAGAGCTTGCTTCAAATCTGCCTTATTTAAAAGCCCATTTCCTTCCTTGTCCAATTGTTGAAAGTGTTTTCCCAATCCAGTCAAAATACGAACACCTCTTTTACGTAGTTTTTCTTTTAGCACATCTGTTTAACAATAAATGAGATGGAAACCAATTGTTACTATGCACAAAGGTATCAAACTGCAGTTGTTTCTCTTGTAAGAAAATAAAATTTTATGTAATGGGAATAGTGTGAATATTGAACCAAATCAAGAGTATGACTAACAAAACCCTCTGGAAAACAGAATGTTTTTAATAAAGAAGATTATATATGCAACCACATGTAAATATACCAGAKCTATAGCGCCACTGTGTGGTGAAAATTTAAAGTGTTATATTTTAAAAATCATGTTTCCTTCTATTAGCAAGAAAATAGCCTAAATGTTTCAAGTTAAAAAAGAAAAAAAGTTCAAAATTTATAAACAGTTTGAGTCATCAAATTGAAACTCAGATGTTAAACAGCATCAAGGTTGTTGAGTGCTGTCCTATAACTGTATATGTAAAGTAACCCTTCTTTTTGGAAATTCATAGGTTATATGCTTAGGTTCCTAGATTCTTCTTATAGATCAATTATTTCACTTACTACAGTAAGGAACATATTTACTTAGCAAAATATTGGTAACTTTACTAAATAAGTTATTATATTTAATATATTGGAGGAAAGAACAAATGTCATTATATTCAATAGAGGTAAAAACTGTAAAAATAGAAAAAAACTACTAACAATAGCATCAAGAATATTTGATTCAAATATTAATCTCAGACAGCCATCAAATATGTTTCTAGCCTTCTTACTGTGAATCTGTTATCTTTAAGTAATATCTTAGCATTCATCAAAAATCATAAAGTATTTTTGATTTCTGTGATTACTTGTTTAATGCTTTTCTCCTCTCCAGACTATGAGATCCAACAAAGGAATTGTCTATTACAATCTAGTATGCTGCAATAGTTGTAAGACAGGACTCCTAAAACAAAATCTGTAAAATGCTTTAGTTTCCAAAGTGTGTGTGTGTGTGTGTGTGTGTGTTTCATTCATTACCTACAACAAGCCTGAAAAGTTAAAAGACAGGCATTATTATCTTCATTTTAGAGATGAAGAAAGAGGTACAAGGTATTTACACAAAGTCATATGTCTACTAAATGGCAGAGTCTAAACATGAACTGAAGCCATCTAGTCCAACAATTTTTCTTTTACACTAGACTACCAAAAATCTTTTTAGACACCATTTAATGCATAAGACAAGTATTATGAAAATCAAATTTATATTTTATTTAGTTCATGAATAAAACTCATATTATCTCACACTTTCTAAAACTATTAAGTTTGTGATCCACATTTACTCAGGACCATTAGTGTAGGAGAWATCCTAAAAACATTTTAATAAATAAATATGTAAGCTTTAAAAAAACAAATAGGAAATATATACCAGGTACTAAAAAATTAACAAATATCTCAAAAATACTGCTTTGACTGATTGCAACAAATATGGATGAAAATTAAAACTAGTATTTGAGATAGAGTGCAAATGCATACCTTGAATGGTCTTGAAGACCAGYCTATCATTGGCTTCTTGATTGATTATATCACTTTCATATTCCACTGAAGTAGTTCTGCAATTGACATGTTCACAATGATAAAAATATACCGGATTTCACAATCTCAAGTTCAGAAACTCTAAGTTCTTTGCTGTTCCAGACCCAAAGAAACCCTCAAAAAAATTGGAAGAGTATAGAGTTCAACCAAGTCCCAATTTTCCTGCTGCTTTAATGCCTAGGAAAGTTGAGATAAAATCTTTAAAACCTTCCAAGAGCTACCTGTGAACATATCCATCTTTATGGTTAGCTCAATGTTCTTTAAAGACTTAATTAAAACTATTAAACTCAAAAGTTCTAACTTAAAATGCTAAAACTTCTTTCTGTTTTAAAGAAGGCCCTCAAAATAAAYTCAATTTTAGAAATACAGGAAACGATAAATGAGGATTTTCTTACTGGCAATTTGTGGGATATGGCCCTTTGTGAATGTACACTACACATAAATTATTGTCATTTTGATTCATATTTAGTAACAAGAAAACACTATGTCTGTGTTTGAATATGTAATGTGTGTGTGTACTCCTATAATTTAAAAAACTCAAAATCATTTAAAATCAGTTTTTGATTCACAGCACTATTTTTTTACCATGCATATAATTGATYGATGAAAACTATAAGAATACGGAACCTGAGATATGTTTTATGCTAAAAAAAAGCACCACACTAAATTATTATGGGAAAAACTATTATGATATACTGACATTCTATATTTTAAAACTTAATACTTTGGTAGTATTTGGTAAAATGAAAGTGTTAGTGGAAAGGCAAATTGATAAGTTATCTTTAACATAAAATGGGATATTTTAAATTTTTCATTGATGACAACTGCCCCACATATAGAATGTATTTGAGAGCCAGATAACACAGATAGATATGTTACATAGCTATGTTTAAAAAAAAAAAAACTAAATTCTAAATGTGTTGTGATAGAATCTTATTTTAAAATAATTTTAAAAATGTGTTTTGACTTACTTTCAAAATAGCAAATGTCTATTGGACTTACTTCAGAGAATCCAAAGCTATTTGATCAATATTGGTGATTCGAAGTCTAAGTATTGAATTTTCTTTCATGCTTTCTGGAAGGCTTGGGTGATCAGAGGTCAAAAATGTCAAGGTTGCACCCTGAAGAAATGAAGAGGTAAACTATTTAAAGCTAGAAAGTATACAAGATGTAAAATCCAACTAATGCAAATTTAAAATATTTGATTTGATCATATGTGACACGGTATATTTTAATAATGGTAATGTATATTTGGAGAATATTTAGAAACTACACAGGTGTCAGCTCATATTATAGAAAAAAAAACAGAAACAAATATCCCCAATTAATTAGCATGGAAACAAAAAAAAGTCACTAATGTAAGAAACCCAGAATTTTTAATAATAATCACAGGGAAGGGCTGGGGATATAGCTCAATTGGTAGAGTGCTTGCCTTACAATGCATAAGGCTCTGGGTTCAATCCCCAGCACCACACCAAAAAAAAAAAAAAAAAAAAAAAAAACCAGGGAAAAATTAGTTCCATTTGTCAAAATTATGACATCCCTAAATAGAGAAATAGATCTATTGGTCCACAGAAAGATATAATGAATTGATAAACTCTAACTGATGTATCTCTCTATCACCTGGTCTTTTAATGACAGATATCTCATAAATATAAAATCTAATCTTTACCTAACTAGAGCATCAAGATTCACTAACAAAATTCTTAAGCCACTTAAGAAAATTATTATTTAAAATTTCTGTTCATATATACAAATGTCCAATATAAAGACAAACACAAATTTAAAATAATCCTTCCTGATGAATATAAGGGGAGAAATTTTCTCCTTTCTTTTTTCTTTGAACAGTTATTTTAGAACATTTTTAATTGCAATGGAGATACTTCCTCCTTTCTTTGAGATGTATATAAATTGTTTTGAAAATTAGACAGGACTACTGCCAGTTCTCTGTCCTAGGAAAATCTTTCTGTAAAACCTGAGAACCATTTTTTGAAATGTAAACATCAAGGGCAACAGCACTCTTATCTCCCACCTTCTGTGAGAAGACAGGAGAATGATTTCCTTAGGCACCTTGCTCTAAGTGCAAAACTACCTCTTGTCACAAAGATGAAAAGTCTGTTTTCTCTGGATAAAGTCAATTAGCTAACACAGACAGTCATCCCAATTACAAGGTGACTCTAGGATGAACTATGTGTGACAAATGGTGCTGTCAAGTCCTCTTCCTGGAAGGCAAGTTCCTTGTATGCGATAGGTTGTGTCTTTTTGGATACATAAAAGGGTGAGATTTCTTTCTTTGCACCACTCTGTTACCAAATTGCCTATGATGTGCATCACATTCTGGCTTAATACTTTTCCAATAATAAAAGTATTTTCCTTAGTACTTTTATGGGAGATTTTCTAGGTTTCAAATTCTATTTCCCCAACACCAGTCATGAAAGTAATCCTTAAAATATTTTTCAACTAAGGAAGTAGGAAGCAGTGATATGGAGCTTCTCAGATAAGGCTGCAGATGGGTTCCAGATCTGCCAAGCTAACGAGTTGGGTGAATTTAGGGGCAATCAGAGCTCCTTTGTCACCTTTAGGTAGCTTCATGTTTACTTCAGTAACTGCCCAAATATTTTCACTTTTTATGGCAAAAAAAAAAAAAAAAGCAGCAGCAGTCCAGAAGATGTCAAATTAACATCCAAAGTTAAGTAGATAAATCAAAGCAGAACCATTAGAGTGGAGAATCTGGTCCCAAAGTTTTGAGGCCTACTACTAACTTACAATGTGCCAAACAGAAATGATCAGTTATCTTATCATTTTGTTTATATTCATAAACATATATTAATACCACTGAACAGCTGAAAAGTAATCCATATACTTTTTAAAAAATGTACAAAGCTTTCTCCCCAATCACAGGTAGACTTATGTCTATAATTAAATATCAAACAAATTTAAAATGAAATGAAAGGTTAGATTATCTCTATTAAGTTTTTCTATGACAAAAGATTACTTTAAGGCCATTTTCACATTTCCAAAGAAATGAGCACAATAACTCATCAAAATGAGAACTTAATAGATTGTGGAAAAATAAGTAGAGTGAAAATTTCCCAATTTTCTTGGTTAACTTATTCCAGGAACTAAAATTAGACTTCCGTCTCCCAAAACACAAGACTTTACTTACTCTTTTAAGGCCATGAACCTAAAGTTCCATAGATGTGGATATTATCTAAGAAAGGTAAGCATGACATTTTTCATTTTCCAGAAAAAAAATGAGATTTTGTTTATCTTTCAAAGGCAAGATGGAAAATTTAAAGATCTAATAATAATTCTCACTTTTAGTAAAGATTTAAACATGTTTGACTATAAAACTTGACAAATTTTACTTATATTTCAAATGTAAAGTTATACATTTATTCAGCCTCACTGACATCTGGTGAGAACTTTCAGGAAACTCATTAACAATATGCTGCACTTCCAGAACTGTCAGCATGCTGGAAATAAGCTTATGCCCAACACGGCCCTTTCGCATTTGTACATTCCTTCATGTAGTCTTCACTGACTAAGAATTTAGATATCCATGATCTCTTCTTTTTTTTAGTGTTCTTAACACAAAAGWTAAAATACTAAAGTTATTCCTCAGGCATTGAAGGTATAGCTTAGTGATAGAGCACCTGCCTGGCATATGTGAGGCCCTAGGTTTGATACTCAGCACCAAGTGTGTTTTGTGTGTGTGTTCCTTTAAGAATAAGAATGGTTCAAGCATTAATTGAATTTAAAGGTTTTAAAATTTAAACATAAGTCCATTCATTCAAAAATATTTATGCAAGTGCTTCTTAAAAATCTGTCACTTGTCAGGACACTAGATGCATTGTAGTAGCCCAGATAGATAAGTGATTACTTTCAAAGAGTTATAGTCTCATGACAGAGAAAATTAATAGATTAACATATATATATATATATATATATATATATATATATATACACACACACACACACACACACACACACACACACATAATATAATGTCAGATAACAGAAACTCTGAGAAAAAAGTAAGCTGAACAAATAATGAAGACRAATAGAAGGGCTACTGTAGATAATATGGTCAGATTTTACCTCTTTTACCCTTTAGCCTTCTGGGTCTTCATGATAGAACAACACTCAAAAGTTAAGAAAGACTTAAAAATGAGTGATATTCTGGGAGCAGAAAATAAAATCCAATAGACGGACTGTCAGGAATAGAAAAGAGGATGTATCTTCCATTAGGAAGATCCAAAGAGCCYGCAATGCAGATGTGGGAGGCAGAATTATGAGAGATGAAATGAAATACTATAGTGACTTGGGTCATAATAATCCAGGAAGGATGTCTAATAGGATACGGCAGTTTAGACTGGATTTGTAATTGAAAGAAGATAAGAAGTTGCAGAGTCTCCTGCAAATAATATCACATTAAACAACTGAAGAGACTACGTGATATGTGTAGCAGGGTTATATATGTGAGTGAAGGTATGTATAATTATACATGCATGCATAAGGGTCTGTGCAGTCTATCACTGTTCTGATGCTATATTTACACATGTATGAGTGAATATATACATGAATGTACTTTTATGAAATGTTTCTATGGGTACATGTGCATTTTCTTATGAGTATTATCTTAACAACTGGCACTCAAATTTCTTTTAAGGAGTGTTTTAGGAAAAAAGATCTGATGGGACATATAATAATGAAAAGATATGTTCTATAGAAATATCTGGAATGAAGAAGAAAGTACACCCACCAACCCTAATRAAAAATAATAGGGCTGCATATTTCTAGATAAATAAATAGAAAATTAGGGGAGTGGGAAGAGGTGGAAAAGACAGAAAATGGAGAGGAAGGACTTTACCACAGAAAAGTACCCAAGGGATAATTTTAGGAATAGAAATTTCCAGTAATAATTCTAAATTTTTTATATTGTTACAATATAAACCTCCCTAAATGTCTCCTTTGAAATGTTTGCCATACAGACAAGGAATCATAAATTTGGTTTATGCATGTATGCCTGACTTTCTTTTTCCTTTTCTCTCCTTCCTTCCCTCTCTCCCTCCTTCCTTTCTCTCATGGAAATCATAAAAGGAAGCAGATTTCCACACCTGGGTTAAAGTATTGTGGAATGGGGATGGTGAGAATAAATCATAAACTACAACAAATTTTTGGAGATGGCAATTCAGAGCAGGCAGTACCTGTAATCTTGGGATGGGCATTAAACATCTTTACCTCCTGAATACGTTTTTATTTTTCTAAGTAGCTTTGTGGATACAACATTTTGCTTAATTCAGGTTGCCACAACTTCTCTCCTAGATTATAGAATTCAATCCAATTCAGTCCTCATGTACACAGTCTTCAACCCATTCCACACACTGTAATCAGAGAGATTTCTCTAAATTATAAACGTGACGACGTCACTTTTCCCCATTCTTCCCACTTCTTTTCTTTCAGTGACTCCCTGATGAATTTCACATAATTCTTTTACATAAGACTACTTTCAACAAACTCGACTTTTCCCTTGACAACCCCCACCTTGAACTCTATTCCAACCAGACGGAACTACTTTTAGTTCTCCAAATAATCTATGTTCTTTCTTCCTTTTGTCCTTTGGTTGAGTTGTCTCCTTTCTTTACCTAGAAGCCTTTCCATATGGGTATGTTCCCATCCCAGTTGAAGTAACTCCTAGTTAAGGTTAAAGGACACTTTCTCCAAGAAATATTCTTTGGTCCCAAAACCTGGGTCATCAGTCCTCCTATCTGGCCCCATATTACCCCTCCACTTCTGACTTTGTTTCTCATTAGATAATAAGTGACACAAAAGCAGGGAACAGATCTAACTTATTCACTGGTCTATATCCAGTGTTTAGCATATGCATATATATTTATCACATGAATGATTACTATGGACAGTGATTTATTATTTTATAATAATATAAAATAATAAAGCATTATATAATGTGTGAATTTAATGATAGGCAAGGATCTAGGTTCAATCCCCAACACTTCAATAAATAATAAATAACATTTCAAAGTACTACATAAACTATAGCATCTGTGATCCAAAAGAAAGAAACCCTTCCATTTCACCAGTGCCAGAAGTTTTTCAAGAAGTGAAACTCAAAAGAAGAACAGGTTACCAATGATATAACAGGTCCAGAGGCCCCTGTACCTCTACAGAGGAAACCATGCACCATCAGAGAACACGGCTCTAGCTGAAGCATTACTGCTTATATTACTGAGGTGGCCACTTATCCAAGGATATAACCCTGTATAGATTTTAAAAGTACTAAAAGACAAGCTCTCCTGAATAAAACTACATTGTAGAATGGTTGGGATTATGGTAAATAAATGCTATGCTTAGATTCAGGCCACTGAGATTTGGGCCTGAGAAGCAGAACCCTCTGAGGAAACATCAATCCATTCACACAAATGTCCCTGCTCAATAAAAAGGAAAGGGAAAAAAACCTCAAGACTAGAACCTCTGCTCCTCTGCTCCCAGAGGGACTCCACATAATTCAACATCTGGTATTAAACACTTGCACACAATACTGGTAACTTACAATATAAAAATCACCAAGTTGGTATGGTTTTCCTTTTCTTCGTCCACTCTGGTGACTATAAATGTTTTTTTGAATAAAAGGAAGCACATTTGTTCTAGAAGTTAGATGAAAAAAAGAAGTAAAGTTATTCAGTTTCTCCCAGAAATAATTATCTTGAGAGTTCTAACAATGTTTGATGACATACCTGTTTTTCCCAAATTGCCGGTACTCATACATTGTGAGAGACTGGTCATGAGTGAAAAAGAACCCAATCAGTTCTCGGCAGGCCTCATGTCCATTTCTGGAAGAGAATGACAGCAAGGTTTTCAAGCAGAATAATTTTTAAATTACTTATAAACTAAAACTGTGCATCTCAATGGGGATAATATAAACCTGAGTTTTGGGCATTGAGGGAAGGTTATGGGAAGCTATAGGTTTCCACACCATAGCTTGCAAGTTAAATGACTGAAGAAAAAAATACTTTCCTTATGCAGATATAAGTATGGCTATGTCATGCTGTAGATTGCTAATTCAACACAGATGTTTAACAAAGTGAAACATCTTAYAAAATGCTGAATTTGCAAGATGACACTCAAAACATGCATTTATTATCTTTTATTTTCATGGACAGGCTTAAAATCACTGAAAAGTATTATAATTTTAAAATGCACATTTTGCCAGAAATATACACAAAAAATCAAGCAGAATTATGTATTAATGGAATTTTATAAGACTGCAATAACAGATCCAAAAATCATCTTCCTTGTCATTTGCTCCATCAATAATCTACTGTTAACTAAAACCATTAAAATTACATAAAGTATCTTACAGAGAAGTTAAGACAAGTAATATAGAACCTTCTAGTAGTAATATATGTATTATAAATTCACTTCTAAGTTTCTTTTTAAATGATATTTTAAATTACTTTTTAGTCCTCAATAGACCTTTATTTTATTTATTTATATGCAGTGCTGAGAATCAAACCTAGTGCCTCATTCATGCTAGGCAAGTGCTCTACCACTGCACCAAACCCCAGCCCTTAAATTACTTTTTAAATAACTTTTAATTAAGATATCTTTCTTAGAACTTCATATTTCCTATATTTTCTATAACAGATTAATAGCTATCACCTAAAAAATGTATTTTCTAAATTCATGGTTTTTCACTTAAATAGTMCAAATTTGTACAGTCTCATTATTGTTTCTAGGTGAAAAGAGAATATACCTTTATAATCATAGAATTAAAAAGTTAATATAATCACAATTACCTCGATATGATCCTACCATCAAATTGTACTTTATGAGAAAGCACATTTTCAGTTAATGTAGAGTGGGTTCTTATCCTGTTAAAAAATATATTTTGTCAATAATTTTTTAAAATTATACTATATGTACTATATTTAAAATACATAATAAATATACAGAAAGATTATGGTAATGGTTTGGAGCATCATATATTAGATAAAGATAGGAAATTCTTTCAGATGGCTAATGTACCAGACACAGAAGAAATCACCGATGTAGTACATAACACACAAAGGACTTTTATATTAGAATCCATGGTATCAAGTGTTATAGAAGTGAATACTGAATAGAGAGGACACATTTTTGACTGGCACTGGACCACCTGAAAATTTCTAACTTTCCTCTCCTCCGCTTCCCTTGGACCAGAGAATTTGCTTGCTTAGCTGTGGAGGCCACCTGTGAATTATTTGAGCTGATATTGAGTGTCTTTACTCAGCCTTGAGCCAGGGAGACTTAGGTTTGGCATTGCAAACTATTTTGTGGTTCCTCCCACTCAATGGATTGCACAAGGCACATGACCTCTGTCTTTGCTTGGCTACTGAGACCGCTCTCATAGGTCCAGAGCGGGGTGTAACCTACTGGAAACTGGACAGCACACCTCCTATTTATTTGGCCAAGAACATTCCATGGAAAACCTTTGATGCTTCCCCCATATAAGTAAAGCATGCACGGGCTCTTTCGCTCTCTTTCCAGGGTGGAAGCTTGATCCCTAAGATCGGAGAGCTGAGTTTTCTCTCCATCCTTTCTAAAATTACTTCCTGTGTTCTGTAGTTTCTTCACCGTTTTTTCTTTGCTTTATTTTGCAGCAAGCCTGTTACACACAGAGGAAACCCAAATTCCACTGCCCGTGTGGGTCTGGGGTGAGACTTAGCCTCTGCAATGTAGGGGTTACTAAGAAACYTAGTTTTGTCGATGAGCTTCTAGGGAGAGTTTCATTTTTTTGGATGAGACAGTAGCCTGAAAAGAGATCCTGCTTGTGAACATGAAAGAGTATTAGTGCCAAGAGCCACAACAGCCATCAAGCATCCATGTCAGAAGGGCCAGTAAGATCTAGGAAAGTCAGTCCAAGGTCACAACATCACTGAGCCAGTAGCCAAAACCAACCAAGAAAAATAAATCTTGACTCATTTAGCCATTATCAGTCAGGTTTTCAGTTATGGGAAGCTGAAAGTATTCCTTTCCAAAATAACACAGTGTGGGAAAGAGTGCTGGATGAAGTTCAAGTCTTGAACTAAGTCTATTGGTTACTTAATCCTATAGTCTTCAGATAGAACTAAATGATCTCATAAAGTGTGCCAGCCCTAAAACTGTTTAAAAATATGAAACAAATTTCAAATGCACACACTTTGGCACATATAACTAATATCCTTTTTCTTAAAAGATTTGAAGATTTCAATGATGTATCATTAGTACTCTTCCCAAATAATTTAATATTTTTCCAATAAAACTACAGGTATAATGAAATAGCAATAACATAAATTGTGTGTGTGAGATCATGAAAAGCTGTTCCTATATACTTCTAGGTCTCTACAAAAAAGGAAGCAGGAGATAGAAAACAACAGCCTGCAGATCAAATGAGAATTTGTGAACACATAGAGGAGACAGGCAAGCTTAGTCCTCCCAATTCAGTTTAATCCACTGTCGTTAATGTATCTATTGAATGCTCACTACATGTCAGGAACAATTCTAAGTGCTGAGAAAATAACAGCAATAACAGCCACSGTTTATTGAGGACTTCCTAGAAACCAGTCAATGGGAAGTCATTTTAACGTGCATTAGTTTATTTAATGTTTGCAATAACTCTGTGTGGTAAGTACTATTGTCCCCATTTAAAAAACAAATTTACAGAGTCAGAAATAGGTTAAGTAAATTGCCCAAGGCCATATGATTAGTAAATGGCAGAGCCAGAAAAAAAAAGATTGCTCTTAATCATTGTATTACAGGGCTTCTCAGCAGTGAAATAGGTTGTAGTAACAGCATCAAGGAGCCTAGAGTCTCCTTCAAAAGATAAAGAAGTAAATACACTGAAACTATTAAATTCAAAGTGCAATGTTGGGTTTTAGGTGCCCAAGAAGAAGCACAAACACTTTTCTCTATCCAAGTTCTGAAACAATAATGAAAGAAGATCATGCATATAGAACACCAAATATGAATTTTATAAAGCTGATGGAAACCTTGTCTTAGGTATGCAACAATAATAAGCTAAGTTCTTAACTCTACAATGAAAAAGACTAACCCCTTATTTCCATTAAAGGTGGATCCTGTAAAAATTTAATGTCTAAGGCAAAATGTGTGCTTCTGCAGACAGCTGTTCCCAAGAAAAAGGGGAGAGAAGAGGCTGCCCTCACATACCAATCCCTGTTTCTAAATTTATGCAGAGTTCTTTTCTCCTGGAAGAAGGAAAGAGAGGATGAAACCTATAAATTCAATAAATCTAATCATTGCACCTATAAGATTTTTCATGGAACTGGATTAGCTTTAAGCAAGATTTAGGTATTTACTTTAATATAAAGAATACCAATTAAGATAGGTACAGGGAAACAATAGATGAGATAGAAGAAAAGGTCTAGAAATCATTTATCCAATGTCACATATGACAGTGACATTAAAAGAATGAAAGTGACTTTTTGGTAGGCATATATTTCTTAAAGACACACACACAAAAAAAWATATATATATACACACACACACATATATCCATGTATACATATACACACATATATATGAAAAGATTGGTAAATTGGTTAAAATTCATATGAGAATATCAGGATGGTCAATATATATATGAAAAAATACTCAACTTTATTAGCCTCCCATGAAATGCGAATTAAAATCACCAGTGCACATATATAAGAAGAACTAAAATGAAAAAGATGGACAATATCAAGAACTGAAAAAATCTGCTGCAATTAGAGCAGGGTGTGATAGTACACCTGTAATCCCAGCAGGAGGCTTAGGCAGGAGGATCGCAAGTTCAAAGCCAGTCTCAGTAATTTAGTAAGGCCCTCAGCATCTTAACAAGACTCTATCTCAAAAAAAAAAAAAAAAGGAAAGAAAGAAAGAAAGAAAAAGAAAAAGAAAAAGAAAGGAAAGGAAAGGAAAGGAAAGGAAGGAAAGAAGGAAGGAAGGAGGAAGGAAGGAAGGAAGGAAGGAAGGAAGGAAGGAAAGAAGGAAGGAAGAAAGAAAGAAAGAAAGAAAGAAAGAAAGAAAGAAAGAAAGAAAGAAAGAAAGAAAGAAAAGAAAAGAAAAGAAAAGAAAAATGTATAAGGCCTAGGGATGTGGCTCAGTGGTTAAGCACCCCTGGGGTTAGATCCCCAGTACCCAAAAAAATGTGCTGTAACTACAATGTAAATTGCATCAATTAGTTTGAAAAACTATTTACCAGTATCTTTTAAAGCTAACATGGGCATACTAAATGGTCCAGTAATTCTAAGTATTTATTCGGCATAAATGAGTACATATGTTCACTAAAAGGCATGCACAAATAAGTTCATGGCTGCACTATTCATAGCCAAATATTTATCAACATCTATGAATAAATAGTGGCATATTTGTATAACAAAATACTGTATAACAGCAATGGGGAAAACTATTAATAGCAATATGGATAATACAATGCTGAATAAATATATAATATAATATATATATATTTATATATACACATACATATATACACACACACACTCAAAACATCATGCTGAATGATCAATCAATCAATAACTGATATTAGGGGAAATAAAAAAAGGTAAACACAGAGTTCAAATKTTGTGTTTTCACTTATATAAAGCTCATAACCAAGCAATTCTAATCTATGATGTTAGGATACAAAGGTTCACCTGGCATGAGAAAGAAAGTGAACAGTAACTGGAGAGCAGCATGAGACGTTTATAGGGTCCTGATCATGCTTTGTTTTTGATCTAGGAATTTGGCACATGAGTATTTTGGTTTGCATAATCCTTATGCTGTACAATTAAAATTTGTGCACTTTGTAAAGTGTGTTTTATTTCAATAAAAGTTTAATTTAAAGGGTAAGTTTAGATGTATGGTAGATAAATGATAGCCCCCGAGGATATTTATATCCTAATGCTTAGAACATGCAAATACTTTACATAATAAAAGAGACAAGGTTGCTTGTAATCCCAGCAGCTCAGGAGGCTGGGACAAGAGATTGCGAGTTCAAAGCCAGCCTCAGCAAAAAGTGAAGTGCTAAGCAACTCAGTGAAACCCTGTCTCTAAATAAATATAAAATAGGGCTGGGGATGTGTCTCAGTGGTCAAGTGCCCCTGAGTTTAATCCCCAGTAGTCCCCACCACCAATAAAAGATAAGGCCTGTGAGGCTCTTAAGATATGGAATTTCCAGGTTTACCCAAGCATGTTCAACGTAATTACGCTAATCTTTATAAGAGGGAAGCAAAGAGAGAGATGTGTCCACAAAAGAAGAGTGTCAAAGTGAAGTAGCATAAGAAAACTCTGACCAATCATTAATGGCTTTGAAGATGGARGACAGGGCCATAAGTCAAAGTATTAATGCAACCTTGAAAAACTGCACAGTACAAGGAAATGGATTGCCCCCTGAAACTTAATCCAATCCTGCCAACACCTTAATTTTAGACTATTCACTTCCAGAACTGTAAAAGAATAAATCTGTTATTTCAACATACTAAATTTGTTGTAATTTTTTACTTAAGTTCAAACAGAATAATATATGATACTTTGAAATATTTAAATATATAGAAGCAAAGGCTTCCAGAAAATTAAAACGAGAGAAAAAGATAAAAGTAATAGGAAAGTAAAAAGATAGCAGTCTGAAATACAAAACAGCTACTGTAGATCCTGGTAGATTTTCTGTCTATTAAAACTGAGTCTACAAGACAACTATCAGTGAAGTTGCTAAGGAATTTAAGTGCAGTGAACTATATTGGTCCATTTCAGTTGTGATACTTTGGATCTGAAAGGTACCACAGAAGACCATATGATAAAGGTACATTCCCCAGCTCATGGTGCTATTGTGAGGTGGTAGAATAGATAGAGGAAGTTAGGTCATTAGGAATGTGTCCTTGAAGAACCCTACTGGACCTGGCCCTTTGCACTACTCCACTCCACTTTTCTGTTTCTCAACTGMCACACTCCTGCTGTGAAGTACTGTGCTGCCACAGGTCCAAGCTGCAGAGCCAAGCACTATCAGCTGAAACTATGAGTCAAAATATGTTTTTTTTTTCCTTATTAAGTTTATTATTACATAAAAGCTGATTAACATGCCAACCTAAAGGTTTTTATAACACACAAAGTAAAATTAAAAAATAATTAGAACTGATATTAATTTTATAAGTGATATTTGAACAGAATATATTGCACAGATACAGATGTCTGAGCTACTCTGTTATGTATTTTCACATATTATTCCTAACGGTTATGTAAATTTTCCCCTAAATTATAATTAAAAAATTATAGGGCAAAAGGGGTATAATAAGGTATGGTTTCCAACATCTTAAGGTGACAGAACTGTGATCTGGACTCCAAAAATTTCACTTACCTTTATATAATAAAAAAGCAAAAACAAATAAAGCCTTTCATGTTACCCAGAGAGATATATTTTAATAATTCATTGATAACATAGTGCAACCTCATTTCATATAATTAAAATCTTACTTTGTTTCATGTAGTGTTCTTTTCCTAAGTCGTAGAGGATGAGTAGTTTCTTGTTTCTCAGTGGTTACATTTTGCTCTGGATCACTGATGACAGCCCTACACAGGAAAATATGAAGTCTAATAATTAAGGTGATAATGCATTACTCTAGCATTCATATATTTTTAAGCAGCTGGAAAAGATCAAACACTAAATGAAATTTAAATCGCTATTAGAATAACATTTTGCCAGAAATGAGTAAATTTAATTATTAAGAATATTGGCCATAAAAATTGAATATTTCTATCTCTTATTCCATAATCATTGTCTAAAAATAAATTGAAATTTTGAAGGATGCTAAGTGCTTCATGTCTTTCTTTTACTACTCTTTAAACAAATAGATACTACACTGGTTTCTGATAAGATAGAGGAAAACAMTGGTAAAGAATATAATAAGAATAAAAATGCAATAAGAAGTAAATAAAGCAATGAGTACTATAATAGAAATTCAATGGGCAAACAGAAGATGACTTAAATCCTGGAAAAGAATATATAAGAAAGATTCCACCAAAGCCCTCAAAGAAGAGATGTCCGCACTATCTCTGAAAAGGTTAGTAGAAGTAGCTGTTCAGAGGAAAGGGAGTCAGGATATCAAGAGAAGAGCAATAACAAACACAAGGCCGCAGGAGTAGAGCAGCACCGCACACCTAAGCAGCTTCACAGAGGGCAGGGATAAGAACACACACTCTGGGGCTGGAATGCCTGGGGTCAGCCCTTGCCTCATCCAGAAATGAGGCGTGTGGCCTTATCTAGTCTTTCGACTCTAGGGTACAGTTTCTTCACTCATAAAAGAAACAATAATGAGCTGAGCATGGTGACACACTCCTATTATCCCAGTAGTTAGAGAGGCTGAGGCAGCAGGATCACAGGCTCAAAGCCAGCCCCAGCAACTTAGCAAAATTCTAAGCAACTTAGTGAGACCTGTGTCAAAATAAAAAATAAAAAGGGCTGGAGAAGTAGCTCAGTGGTTAAATACCTAGTTCAATCCTCAGTACCAATAATAATAATAATAATGATAATAATAATAATAGTACCTCTCTCAAATAACTATTATGAAGATTAAATAAATTAGTTAATACATATTATTTAGAGGAGTGTCTATCATCTAGTGTTAGTGAAGTGCTCACTCACTGAGCTTATGCCTCCCTGTTCCCATTTTATTATATGTTCTGCCAAATATGAAATATGAACAAACACAGAGTCATGACAGGCTATTAGGTAACACTGCAATAGGCTAGAAAAAAAAGATAGCAAGGTGGCATTAAAAATAGATGCAGTATAATGGATTTGAGAAATACTGGAAGAACTAGGAGATTAACTGGCTTGAACATCATTAAGTAGAAAAATCTACCGTAATCTTACAATGTGAAAGGAGTTTCATTTAATAATGTAAGGAATATGGGAGTCATATAATAGTTTTGGTTTGTCATTATAGGTAGTATTATTTTAATAGCAGAAAGGCAATCTATCCTTACTTCTGTCTTTACCCAGCATGATTTATCAAAATATAAATTTATATAATCCTTAACAACCTTATTGCCCTCTCTGGTTTTTTCCTATTTCCTTGACAAAACCCCAAGTAAGAATAAATTGATGATGAACTGGTTAAAAGAATAAATACATAAGCCTTTTTGAAAAAGGTATCATGAGTCTTCAAAAAATACAAAGATAAACAGCAAGTCAGGGAGAAGAATTTACAAATTTTTTCAGTTTCTTCTATTGCTTAAATATTCAGGAAAAGCTTTAAGAATTTCTACCCTATTGTAGGTACTCCTTATTTGTGTGCCAAATTATGAGCTAAACAATTTTAAGCTGAATATAAAGATACTTTTTAAAAAAAATTTTCCTGGTGAAGAAGGCTGGAATTTACCAAAAAATGGCACCTATTCTGTTCTCACACCGTCACGATATCAGTTCTACGTTAAATAGACACATAAAGAATGTTATAGTTATAGAAATCTTAAATGTTCTTTTGGAAGAAGCTAAATCAAGACATACAGAAGGAAAATATGAAGGCTCAAAAAGTAATTTTAGTCACATAGCTAAACACTAAATTCAGTTCTGCTGACTTAATTAGTCCTTTTTTCCAGTTCATTCGTTCATTTGCCCATTCAGCAAGTACTTAGTGTACAGATACTCCACTAGGGAATAGAAATGCAGCAAAAATGAACAAAACTTCCAAAGAGACCTACCTGYTTTATGGAGCACACAGACAATTAACATGATGAATAAGTAAAGTAAAAGATAACTAACATATTGATAATTCCCATGGAAGGAAAAACAAAGTAGTAAGAGGCTATAGAGTTTTGAGTAAGGGAGTTATAACTTCTTATTTGGTAGCCAAGGTAGGTCTCAATAAGGTGACTTCTAAATAAAGGTAAAGTGAGCAAGCAGCAATATAAATTTATGGGGAAAATGCATTCTAAGCAGAGGGGAAAATATATGCAAAGTACCTGAAATAGAAGTAGAACCTGATATGTTCCAGAGCAGGGAGCAAGCCAGAAGGCTGGAATAGAGTAGACAAATGAGAGGAGCAAGACTCCAAATTCTAACAGTAAGCAGATCAATGGTGGGATTGAACACTATATTACTGGCTCCAATTTTTCAGCACTCCTGATTCACATCCTTGCCATGGCTTTATTATAAATGAAATGTATTTCCTCTCCCCTTGACTTTGAGCTTAGCCACTTGATCTCTTTTGGTTATATATTATATATAGTCGGATGGCTTTGCTGATCTTAAATGAACTAATTCATGCAAGTGTGGATGATCTACAATGATCTACAAAATCTGCCAATCTACAATGGTCCAAGCTAAATAGCCCCTCTGCATTTATAGAGGAATCTTTTACTTGAGACTAGTTGGCTATCCAAGTATTGTTCTGCTCTCATATATGGTAGATGCACAAGAGGGCAAATTGAAATATGAGTTATCTTACAACCTAAGCTCAGAATGATGTGATCATTTATTTTGTTCATATATAACTAGTCAGAGGAATAAGTAAAATCCATCCATCTAAGCCAAGTCTGGACAGCAAATCTAAAGATACATTAGCAAAAATTAAATGCTGTTTTTTTTTAAGAGAGAGAGAGAGAGAGAATTTTTAATATTTATTTTTAGTTTTTGTTGGACACAACATCTTTATTTTATTTTTATGTGGTGCTGAGGATCGAACTCAGTGCCCCACGCATGCCAGGCGAGCACACTACCACTTGAGCCACATCCCCAGCCCAAAATGCTATTTTTTTAAGCTCCTAAAAATTACTTATACTTACATATAAGCATTGTAATTTTATTATTGGGGATGGTTTAATTACTGGATGGTTTGATCTGTCTTGTTTAATAATTTCATTCTAGCTGCTGGGTTGAGAATAAACCTACAAGAGGTAAATGCAGTTAACAAATAAATGAAATAATCCAGGAGATAGAAGGTGATGGTTGAAACAAGGATGGTGGCCAAAGAAAGAATAWATTTATTTTAATGGTGGAACTGAAAAATGTCTGCTGACAGACTGGATATAGAGTTTGAATTAAAGGAAACACCAGGATTTAGGCCTAAATAATTTCAAGAATGGAGTTTCCACAGAGGAAAATTAAAGAAGACTGGGTTATGCAGAAGAACCCAGATTGGAAAATAAAATTGTTAAATTGAAATCTTAAATTAGAGATGCATCAGGATACAGAATGTTTTTAAGGCATGATACTGGATGAAATCACTAGGAGGCAAATACAGAAAACGTCCTAGGCAGTGCCGTATTTAAAGACTGGGGAGACGAAGAAGAACCAGAAAACAATGAGGAGTGGAAAGCAGGGGGGGGGGGGGCGGGGAACAGTCAAGTGTGGTGAGCAGAAAGTCAAGTAGAGAAGAGAAAAAAGTGTTTCAAAAAGAAGTAAACTTCAAAGGAGCCAGTGTTGCTGATGGGGCAAGTAAAGGAGAACTGAGAAACCACCATTTGTCTAGCAATACAGATGTGACTACTTACCTTATGAAGAGAATAAAGTAGCAGAAGTAAAACATAAGTCAAGTCCATGGGATGATAGATAGACTATAAAAATAATTGTCTCAAAGAACTTACTGAAAAATATGCTTGTAGGATTATCATTCTCTCTGCTTCCTAAATAAACAACTTTTTCAGGTTGATCTTAAGTCTTACTTTTTCCCTGAAGAGTTCCTGCATTAGTCCAGCCTCTTCTAAAATCTTACGATATTTACAAGCTGTCATACTATTTAACACTGCATGTAATAGAATTTTATATAGTTTTCTAAGGAGCTTTTAAATTCTTGAAGGTTACTCTCACAGTTCTCAAAATGCATAGGGTAACTGTGGGATATTAATTTTTAAGGGAAACAGGCATTCGCCATCTTTTGGATATCATATAAACTACTAGCTGAAAGTAGCTGACAGCTTCAACACAGGATTGTGTTATTCTTTMTTCAATGATGTTACATCTTTACAAGAGTTTTCTACAACCACTGTGATAAAAAAGCAAATATGGGAAAATCAATGTAGAATAGAAAGTGATCCTAAATGATTCTAAGATTTAAGAGATTGTTCAGTACTTAAAATATACAAACAACCCATTAGTAAGCAACTGTGACAATTTAAGAATGAAATAATTATATTTTCTTCTAATTTATCAGCATCATTTTTTCATGTGGCCACAAAGTTGTTAGGAAATGGATACTTATTAAGTTGTTTAGATAAAAGTTCTTAATAAATAGAACTATTATGTATTTCTATTGGTCTAAGGGTGCTCTGAAAAAATTACTAAGACACTAAGAGTGCAGTGAAGAGAGAGCTTGGGAACCTCTAAGTCAGCCATGCCTTGAGTGACCAGGGACATGTGTATCATGCATGAAAAAGAAATTCAATGAAAACTTTTGGAATGGATTTCTATTACCAGTTACTAACTCTCACCTAGATAAGTGGTCGATCATCATTTGCTCTGTGACGGTCTGTTTCTTCTTCTCTGCAGCCACAATTTCCTGAGAAGATAAAAATAAAAACATTTTTATTGTCCATAAAGCAGAACAATTAATACCAAAATCCTAAAAAAATTAAACATTTCTAATGTTGCTCTTAAATACAGACTGTTATCCATCATTAACGTACTTAAGCTTTAATTATTTAATCTTAATTTACCATTTTCTAAAAAGCAAAGCACTTAAATTTCAATACAAATCATCAGACATTTCCAATAAGCTATGGAGTCAGAATAAAGGGTAAGAAGGCTATGACATGCCCCTCCCTCCTTATTATTCCCAATAAAACATGTCCTACCAAATGTATCTTAACCTGCTACAAGAATACCAATACAGAAACAAAAAGAGTGAGGTCTAAAATTATTCACAGTTGAAGAGGCTGAAACTGAAATAGAATCATTCAACTTTACATCAAAAATCTAAAATTGAAACAGACACGGCTGTGCATGCCTGTAATCTCAGCAACTGAAGAGGCTGAGACAGGAGGATTGCAAGTTCAAGGCCAGCCTCAGCAACTCAGCAAGACCCTAAGCAACTGAGCAAGACCCTATCTCAAAATAAAAAATAAAAAGTGCTACGGATATAGCTCAGTGGTAAAGCACCCCTGGGTTTAATTCCCAGTTTAAAAAAAAATCTAATACATAACAAAAGAATTCCCATCTTTAAAAGGAAGGTAATCTTTTCTATGTCTATCTTGTGGTTTCAATATGAGGTGCCCCCCCCAAATGTTTCTATGCTAATGGARGAATGTTCAAAGGTAACATGATGGAATTGTGAGAGCTGAAACCTAGTCAGTCCATCCTAGTTTGAATGACTGGGTGGTAGCTACAGACAGGTGTGTGTGTGTAGAGGAGGTGGGTTACTGGGCCTGCGCCCTGGAAAGGTGCTTCTTCTTCCCTGTAGCCCTTTTCCACCCTCTGCCCTTCTCTCTGCTTCCTAACACCGCCATGAGCTAAGCAGCTTTCTTCCTTGGAGCTCTGAAACCATGAGCCCTAAATAAACTTTTCCTCCTCTAAGTTATTCATGTCAGGTATTTTGATCACAGTGAGGCAAAAGCTGACTAAAACAGTATATAATACCTTAATCATATCTAATCAATTTTCCTTAATTACTGGTTTTATTAAACTGTCTTCATACTATTTTTTATTTTTCCAACTCATCTAAAAGCATTTTTACTACTTTTTAGATCATATCAAATTGGAAGATTTGCAATCATTCAATTCCAATTAGAGATCACACAACTATAAATACTAAAATATTTCTTTAGGGGAAAAACAAAAGAAGTTAAAAATTAAGAGGTCAAAACAACACATGTCCTATTCTTAGAATGTAGTTACCATATCTCTATTAATGACTCTAATAAAAAAAATCAACTAAGATAATGTTGTTTAASACAGAGGCTTTGCAACTTTAGGGAAGGTATTCAATTTAAAACTAACACAAAATATCAAGTAAAAGAACATCATAAAAATAAAAAGTGAAAATTTCTATGAAACCTGGAAAAAGTGGCCACTATTATATAAACATTAGCGTATAATTGAATTTAGTGTTTTCTGGTAGAAATTTAAGATGTATAGTTTACATATCCAAAAATACCCAAAATAGCTTTTATATCTTTTAATACATGACTGTTTCTTATGCTATTCTCTAAGTTCATAACACACTATAATGATTTTTTATTTAATAGTAAATTTAAAATGGCAATTAAAAAAGAAAATTATATAACCCACAGCTAAAGCAAAGAGTATTTTATAATACTTGAGGATGATTCAAAAAGCAGACAGTAAAACACATTGAAATTATATACAGAAGAGATCCACTCCAGCCAGAATGTAGATGAAAAACCCCAAACCTAGACAAAGACGAAGATTAATGACTACCCTAGAGCCCATGCAAAGGGCCACCTTCAGTGCTAAAGTTCATGGTGGTTTTTACTTTGTAGGGAAGATTGGAACCACCCTCAGTCACATTGATTTAGAGGTCTGTGAAAGCATAAAGCAGATTAGAAACAGAAGTCACAGGAATACAAAAGAGCTGACGACACTGAAAAATGACAACAGCACCAGGAGAGGGGCATAAAAACCATAGTGTCACTACTCGTTGTTCCTCTAAGTAGCTAAAGAAGTTTGTACCTCCATCTTTAAAACACATTGGTGATCATTTCAAATGTCTGAAAAGCCTACTCATATCCACATTGCCATGGAGAAACAAAACAGATAAACAAGTACTACCGCAAAAAAGCAACTCAAATTACTTGATGGTCAATTTATATACATCACCACTAATAATGTCAATACAAAGAAAAGAAATATACTACCTCCCAGATGGCTTTGGGTTATACCAAGAATAATACCCAATGGGCCCTAAGTATAGGTGATATCTATCTCAAATACAACTTCAGAAAATAAACCTTATTGGGGACACTATTTTGCTTCATAATTTTGTTATTTTTACGATAACCCAAGTAATACTACTAAGCATAAATATTTAAATAATAATAAGCATAGAAAACTACATGCATGTAATTTTAATGGAAGAACTGCAATAAATTTGAGACATCCACAGACTATTAACCTGACTGATCCAGAGATTAATTACACATCATTATCAATTCATAATATATTGATTCTAGATGACTGCAACTCAAGTTAAAAAAAAAGTATATACACATACACACATATATATACACACACAATAGTTTATCTATACAATTGTATGTGTATATATATTGTGAATACATACACATATGTATATATATATATAT